AAAAAAAAAAAAAAAAAAAAAAAAGAAAAAAATAATCTAAATTATAGAAATTAAAACATATTAAGTTTTTTCAAAGAATTCAGTTTTCTAATCAAATATACATGATTTGTAATTATGATAATATAAACTTCTTTATTCAAAATTTATTTCGGTATAATAATTGACAATTAATTGAATTGCTTTTTGTTTTAAATTTCAAAGTTTCAAACTTAAAATTTAATAGAATTGAAAATTAATACTATGAAATTATTAAGATCAAATATACATTTTGTTATAATATAATTTGTTATTTCATTTATTTAAAAGTATATTGTTTTAAATACAATATGCAACATGAAAAAAGTTAAAAATCAATTCGAGGAGGTAATCTAGATTGCCTCTTTTCAGAAAGCCTTCTTTTTTCAAAAAGCCTTTGCCTTGCTGCTTTAAGTGCCAGCTTTCTTTTATATTCCACAGATTCAGGAGAAATCTCCTTTGGTGGTTTAGCAGCATCCCATATTAGTTTTCTTAACTTTTCAAGTGCATCAGCTAAATTTAATTGCTGAGATCTTGTTATTTCTGATTTAACTATTAAATAGCCTCCTTTGCTTAATTTATTTTGATGCTGTAAGAATAATGTGTCTATAAAAAATTATTTCTACAAAATTGAAGTTTCAAAAAATTACAAACCTGCTCTAATAATTTCTGTTTAATTTCATCTGATAACCATGTAGCATCTTTTAAACGAAACCTTACATCTACTTTACTATTTGTACGGTTTACATGTTGTCCTCCAGCACCACTGCTACGACTATAGGTAATATCGAGTTCTTTGATAGGTATATGGCCAGTAAATTTGGCATTTGGATCTTCAGGAAACTAGAAATAAAAAAATATATTTTTTAACAAATATCAGTATAAAAATTTATCAAACCAAAACATATTCTAATTTATAAAATAATTTATAAATTGATATTAGCTGAAAACATGTTTCGGATATTGTAAATATAAAAATGGAAAAATGTTATAAATACAAAATTTTTAAGAAATATTTCGAAGTTTTGTATGGAGATAAATAAGTACAAACTTACAAAGGTTGGCGTGAATATTTTCAAGTTACTAGTAGGATATAATTTGTCGAGGGAAAAAGCACTTTTGTAAGTCAAAACTTTTCCAAGAATACAAAAGTTATTGTAACGAGTTATATCAGTTTTAAAAATTTTAATCCATTGTTTGCCGACAATATTCATCTTTTCGTTTCTTTAAATTTCAAAATAGTACCATAACCTATACCGTGAAGCTAACCACTTTGTCACTTGAACATCGCTACTTGTGCTTCGTTTTCGATAATCGATAGTTGCAGTATCTTTACATTATTTCGATACTTTAAATTCAGTAACTTTCTGCGTAGTATTTATGAAAAGTGCAAGTGTTTATATGCTTATAGTTTAATTAAATTGTAATTGTGATTCATTGTAAAAAGTGTATAACCAATAACCAAGATGCCATTGGTATATCAAGAATACGAAGCATACCTTGAAATATTTCAACAAAATCATGATTTTCGTTAAAATATGTATTAATACCGTTTTGTGTGTCGTCTTTTCAATATACGACCATTTTCGTACATAAAGTTAACTTAAATTTTTCAAAATATATTTTATAAAAACAATTTGACTATATTTTCAGTTACAATGATTTGACAATGTACAAATTAATTGCAAGATTTTGTATAAGCGTACATATGTATAAATATGTTGGGTTCCAAAAATTAATTAGGCTGAATAAATCAATGTACGTATATCGGAGCCAGAAGATTTTCATATAAAACTTTAATTAGAAATAAGAAACTGTATCAATCATTATAACGAAGATAGTGTCAAATCGTTATTTTTAGGTTAGAGTAGGCGGTAATTAATAATAATATAATTTCAATAATATTCATAGATAATAATAATTCGTTTAATGTAGTTCAGTAATCATTTTTAATTATTAGTAAAAAATTTCATTTAAATATTCCTAATAATTTGAATTATTGGTGTTTATCGATTAATTTATATTATCGACACAAAATTATCTTGAACTAGTGTTGATTTCTACGTATATAAGTACAACTACTTTTACTCGAATCGTAATATGTGCAAACTGTATTTGATGGAATATTTGCCACGGATAAATAATTATTGGGTGTTAAATTCCACGATGAGAACAAACGACCGTCTCGTAAAACGACGAAAGTACTGGTACACATTTATTTGCGGTTAGGTTTTACTGCAAAATTACAAATCAGAGAGTAATGAACCTGTCAAGGTTGTCTTACAGCAATTCAAAGGGAGGAATTTTAACAACCTTTCTACTACTTCTTTATGCAATACTAGTATACATTGTGGCAGGGCACTCGTGTATTAAACAATGATTTGTTGTTAAGTCAGTATTAACAACTTTTAATATTTTGAATATTTTCAAAATATTTACAAAATCATCCAAGGTAAAATCCAATTATTTACATAAAATCTGAGAAAATCACAGTAACCTACCACATCTTAACTTTCAGATTCATCAAAGGGTAAACGAATCAGCGAAGACAAACTGGTCCGATACTTTTAACGATTCTCGACGATTTAAAGGGCTAAAGTCACGGATTGTTGTACAGTACACAAACTATTGGCGCAATTGCAATTTCGTAATTGCCGGATTGCACAAACGCATTCTGGAAAAGACGGTAATAACTGACAAGCGATCTGCCGCAAGGACGCCGAACTTCTTAACTCGGCTATGCGGTTTTCCCGGCTAAATACTGTGACAAGGTCGTTGCTTTACAGCGTTACGGGTTATTGCACCGGCGAAAATCCACGAATGGCAGAGTCGATTGGTCTTATGGGTTATGCGAAACGATCATTCGCGACGTCGTCGAGTTGGACCCTGTGAGTCTGATCCTGATCCGTGTGCAGTCACTTCGCTAAATAGGTTTGACACCGAAACGTATCCTGTTGCTCCGTTAGGTATACTAGAGTTTAGCTTGAGATGATAAAATTAGCACGTGGTAAATGTAATTGGGATCATCGAGGTCGAGGAGTTTATTCTTGACACCCTACGGATCACGCTAATTGCCGAAGTAACTGAAGCTTGGGTTAGGTATGGAGAATGCTAATTGATGCCCTATGTGAAATAATCGCAACGTGTAAACACCGGACGTGGTTTGGCTGTTAGAGGAAATTGTGTTTAAATATGATGTAAGGATTATGTAGTATCGCACTTAATATGTGCCATGTCTATTTCTAATAGAGTGGATATTTATGGATATGTGTATATAATCATTATTGTCTAATAATTACATACATCTAAGAATATTTCGATATATCTCAAAAGATATATTTAATTATCAAGTAATTATTAATATGCATAATTCATAAGTCTCTACCACTTTAATTACTACTATCATTATTAATTATTATTGTTTAATTATGTAATTTATAATTAATTATTACTTTACTTAATTATCATACGACTCTAATTACTATCATCATCTATATATTTCAGTATTTTTTAATTCCTTGTAGCTTATGACATCTTTCTGGACATTCTTATTACATACTTACATCCTTACATTCTTCATGTCTCCAAAACTTTGAATCTATAAAAAATAGACATAATTATTTATATTGTAATTTTATATCGATGGTCCTCCAATTCTATAATTTTTTTGTGGTCAAAAAATTCAATATCGAGCTCACCCATACGGTTTCCGTAAAGAAATCCTGATGTATATTATATTTGAACACATATTTCATATCTCTAGAGTTAGTTAAATATCCTGATATTTATATCCAGTATTAAATAAAAAGTATCTTGATTTATCTTCCAGACAAAAGCCACTAACTCATCCAATAATTATATTCTATAAGAATGCTTTCGGATATATTATCAAGCATCTGCTCTACTAGTAGCCATCATGAAACCTTCTTCAGTGACGTCCAAACTTTCGGACATTCGTTTTACCGCGAAGGTGAACAGCTTCAAAACCGTGAACCCATTCATGCGAACAGGTTGAGCATAGCGAAATTTCCTCAACCAATGAGGATCACGGTGATTCAATCCGGCCAACACTTGAAACAGTGGATGATGAAAGCTCCTCGTGACTATGAGTCGCGACTGCTCATAGCATTGACACAAAATCGTAATTATCGCAACGTTAAACGAATGACACGCTTCTGTATACCGTCGATTCGATTTTTCGTTTGATTTAGGTGTCATTTCTTATTCCTCGTTTTTACATTTTGGATTATCTATCTTTTCATAAATTGCAATTTGTATTAAAATATTCAACGATTTTGAACATCACTTTCGCAATGGTAAAATTTAGGTATTTTTCTCAGTGGTTCTCACGAATTTTTAGCAAGTTAAGTCGTTTAGATTTTTTCTTCTTAGTCTCTTAGGAATGTATTAGTTGTTTAGATTGCTTTTGTTTATATATATTTCGAAAATAAATTTATTCTTATATTTTTTCAGTCAGCAATCGTCCATATCTAGTAGATGAAAATATCCTTTTAAGTTGCACACTACAAACAAACTTTTCTTAATATCTTAAAAATTATTGGCTGTAAAAGAAAGTGCCACATACAAAAATTATACACTTTCCATTACAAATTTAGCTTCTTAAACACTTCTCCAAAATATTAATTTTTTTAAACAGTGTATTAGAATTAACATTTTTCTATTAATATATTTAATTATACATTCATATTTTCTAGATACAGAAGATAGCTAGTAAATAGAAAATTCTTCTTTCCTGTGAGGAATTAATATTTTTGTATTTTTCTATTCAATCAGAAAAATAAATCCCAGGCTTCTCCCAAATATGGACGATTCTCCTAAAAAGAAAGGAAGTTTGGAAAGTCAGTAAAGTATTTTTTCAAACAATATATCTTCCAAAAAATTTCGCAGCATTCGGTTTCCAACATGCTGTGCCAAACCTACCGTATTGAAACGCTTACACGCGTATCTGTTTACATTTTTCAGCTGTCGTCACCCTGTCGAAGAACGACGGATATCGCAGTCGAATAGAACGAAGAAACTAAGAAGGAGTGGACGAGGAGGAGAAAAAATGGTGAAGGATTGCACAATTTGGCGCGTGATCGCAGCCTGGTGGAACGCGCGTGCACGTATAAACACACGTACACGCGATTTGTGTCGGTGTATTCGCGTTCCTGCTAGATCCTATCCTATAGGTGACTGTGTAATCCACGATACGGCTGTCGAGTAAAATATCCTCATGGCACGCGAACCTAAGTGGCTTGCGAAGTTACTTTCGCGAGTCTGACGGATTTTGGGCGAGATTGTTTTTAGGTATTATGTTAGCTTTGACTATTTGTTCTCTTCCTTGAAACACGACTTACTTGGATCATTCGTTAATTGCTGACTAATGTCTAGTTTTTGTTGATATTATCGTGAAGAAATTAGTAACTTTCTCTAACTAAGTGTTCCTTGGTATTTAATAGAGGTTCTTACTTGGATCTTGGTGGATTTACGTCTCTTTCTGCAGTATTCCTTGATATTTTTGATATCTTTTATAATCCCACTGGTGGTTTTGTTTTACTGCATTTATGTGTATTACGATTAAATGTGATTATCTATTTTGGTCTTATACAAAACGTAATTATTGATGTTATTATTGTTAAGTTATTGGAAGAACGATTGATCGTTTAGAATTTTGCATTCAAAGTATATGGCAGGAATGTTTAGAAGTTATTAAGAAGATAGTTCAATTGTTCAACTGGTCAGTTAAAAGTCGTTTAATTGATAAGCAAAATAGGCGTGCAGTTTTCACTTTAGCAGTGATTCATCATAGAGCATATGTTAGTGTCTCTTTGAGCAGAACATTTATATTTCCAAAAATTTCTTTTCGTCTTTCTTATTTCACCACATCGTTATGTTAAAAGATTGTTTGACCTTATATAACGTTATCATAACCATAAAATCATAGTATGTAATATAATGGAGATAAGTGTAATAGGTTAGTGTAATTTTGTACTCGTTGAGTGTAACCACGTTGAGTATACCTCATAATACACCTAAGCGACGAGTATGTAAACGATGATCCTTGATCTTTCTAAAAGCCCCGTGTTTTCTGACAAAATTATTTTAATGAAAGAGTATGGTTTCTATGAGGATCTTACCGAGAAAGTTAGGAGAGAGTCGAATTCGAGTTCACTTTTATGAGTTTCGAGAGTGGATTTTGTACTAAATATAAGCTATAGTTATCAGCTTCTTCGAAAAACATGGTTGACATTTTGAGAAGCGATCAACTGGCTTTTTT